CCACTACTCCTGGCAGACCACTACTCCTTGCTTACCACGTCTCCTGGCAGACCACTACTCCTGGCAGACCACTACTCCTGGCTTACCAAGACTCTTGGCAGATCACGAATCCTGGCAGACCACGACTCCTAGCAGACTACGACTGGCAGACCACGACTCCTGGCAGATCACGACTGGCAGACCATGACTCGTGGCAGACCACGACTGGCAGACCATGACTCCTGGCAGATCACGACTGGCAGACCATGACTCGTGGCAGACCACGGCTCCTGGCAGACGACGACTGGCAGACTACGACTCCTGGTAGACCACAACTGGCAGACTACGACTCCTGGTAGACTACAACTGGCAGACGACGATTGCCAGACGACGACTCCTGGCAGACCACGACTGGCAGACCATGACTCCTGGCAGACCACGACTGGCAGACCATGACTCGTGGCAGACCACGAGACCACGACTTCTGGCAGACCACAACTGGCAGACCACGACTCCTGGCAGACGACTGGCAGACCACGACTGGCAAACTACGACTGGCAGACCACAACTGGTAGACGACTGGCAGACCACAACTGGTAGACGACTGGCAGACCACGACTGGCAGACCACGACTCCTGGCAGACGACTGGCAGACTACGACTGGCAGACTACGACTGGCAGACCAAGACTCCTGGCAGATCACGACTCCTGGCAGACCACGACTCCTAGCAGACCACGACTGGCAGACCACGACTCCTGGCAGATCACAACTGGCAGACCATGACTCGTGGCAGACCACGACTCCTGGCAGACGACTCCTGGCAGACTACGACTCCTGGTAGACCACAACTGGCAGACGACGATTGCCAGACGACGACTCCTGGCAGACCACGATTGGCAGACCACGACTCCTGGCAGACCACGACTGGCATACCATGACTGGCAGACCATGACTGGCAGACCATGACTGGTAGACGACGACTGGCAGACGACGACTCCTGGCAGACGACGACTCCTGGCAGACCATGACTCCTGGCAGACCACGACGGCAGACCACGACTGGCAGACCGCTACTCCTGGCAGACCACTACTCATGGCAGACCACTACTGGCAGACTACTACTCATGGCAGACCGCTGCTCCTGGCAGACGGCTACTCCTGGCAGACTACTACTCATGGCAGACCGCTACTCCTGGCAGACCACTACTCATGGCAGACCGCTGCTCCTGGCAGACCGCTGTTCCTGGCAGACCGCTGCTCCTGGCAGACCACTACTCATGGCAGACCACTACTCATGGCAGACCACTACTCATGGCAGACCGCTGCTCCTGGCAGACCGCTACTCCTGGCAGACCACTACTCATGGCAGACCGCTGCTCCTGGCAGACCGCTACTCCTGGCAGACCACTACTCATGGCAGACCGCTGCTCCTGCAGACCGCTACTCCTGGCAGACCACTACTCATGGCAGACCGCTGCTCCTGCAGACCGCTACTCCTGGCAGACCACTACTCGTGGCAGACCGCTGCTCCTGGCAGACCGCTACTCCTGGCAGACCACTACTCATGGCAGACCGCTGCTCCTGCAGACCGCTACTCATGGCAGACCGCTGCTCCTGGCAGACCACTACTCCTGGCAGACCACTACTCATGGCAGACCACTACTCATGGCAGACCGCTACTCCTGGCAGATCACTACTCATGGCAGACCGCTACTCATGGCAGACCGCTGCTCCTGGCAGACCGCTACTCCTGGCAGACCACTACTCATGGCAGACCGCTGCTCCTGGCAGACCGCTACTTCTGGCAGACCACTACTCCTGGCAGACCACTACTCCTGGCAGACCACTACTCCTGGCAGACCGCTACTCCTGGCAGACAGCTACTCCTGGCAGACCACTACTCCTGGCAGACCACTACTCATGGCAGACCGCTGCTCCTGGCAGACCGCTGCTCCTGGCAGACCACTACTCATGGCAGACCACTACTCATGGCAGACCACTACTCATGGCAGACCGCTGCTCCTGGCAGACCGCTACTCCTGGCAGATCACAACTGGCAGACCATGACTCGTGGCAGACCACGACTGGCAGACCATGACTCCTGGCAGATCACGACTGGCAGACCATGACTCGTGGCAGACCACGACTCCTGGCAGACGACTCCTGGCAGACGACTCCTGGCAGACTACGACTCCTGGTAGACCACAACTGGCAGACGACGATTGCCAGACGACGACTCCTGGCAGACCACGATTGGCAGACCACGACTGGCATACCATGACTGGCAGACCATGACTGGCAGACCATGACTGGTAGACGACGACGACTGGCAGACGACGACTGGCAGACCATGACTGGCAGACCATGACTCCTGGCAGACGACGACTGGCAGACCACAACTGGTAGACCACGACTGGCAGACCACAACTGGTAGACGACTGGCAGACCACGACTCCTGGCAGACCACGACTCCTGGCATACGACGACTGGCAGACGACGACTCCTGGCAGACGACGACTGGCAGACGACGACTCCTGGCAGTCCACGATTGGCAGACCCCGACTCCTGGCAGACCACGACTCCAGGCAGACCATGACTCCTGGCAGACCACGACGGCAGACCACGACTGGCAGACCGCTACTCCTGGCAGACCACTACTCATGGCAGACCACTACTGGCAGACCGCTGCTCCTGGCAGACCGCTACTCCTGGCAGACCACTACTCATGGCAGACTACTACTCATGGCAGACCGCTGTTCCTGGCAGACCGCTGCTCCTGGCAGACCACTACTCATGGCAGACCGCTGCTCCTGGCAGACCGCTGTTCCTGGCAGACCGCTACTCCTGGCAGACCACTACTCATGGCAGACAACTACTCATGGCAGACCGCTGCTCCTGGCAGACCGCTGCTCCTGGCAGACCGCTACTCCTGGCAGACCGCTGCTCCTGGCAGACCGCTACTCCTGGCAGACCACTACTCATGGCAGACCGCTGCTCCTGGCAGACCGCTACTCCTGGCAGACCACTACTCATGGCAGACCGCTGCTCCTGGCAGACCGCTACTCCTGGCAGACCACTACTCATGGCAGACCGCTGCTCCTGCAGACCGCTACTCCTGGCAGACCACTACTCATGGCAGACCGCTGCTCCTGACAGACCGCTACTCCTGGCAGACCACTACTCATGGCAGACCGCTGCTCATTTCAGACCGCTGCTCCTGGCAGACCGCTACTCCTGGCAGACCACTACTCCTGGCAGACCACTACTCCTGGCAGACCACTACTCCTGGCAGACCGCTACTCCTGGCAGACCGCTACTCCTGGCAGACAGCTACTCCTGGCAGACCGCTTCTCCTGGCAGACCACTACTCATGGCAGACCGCTGCTCCTGGCAGACCGCTGCTCCTGGCAGACCACTACTCATGGCAGACCACTGCTCATGGCAGACCACTACTCATGGCAGACCGCTGCTCCTGGCAGACCGCTACTCCTGGCAGACCACTACTCATGGCAGACCGCTGCTCCTGGCAGACCGCTACTCCTGGCAGACCACTACTCATGGCAGACCGCTGCTCCTGGCAGACCGCTACTCCTGGCAGACCACTACTCATGGCAGACCGCTGCTCCTGGCAGACCGCTACTCCTGGCAGACCGCTACTCATGGCGACCGCTGCTCCTGGCAGACCGCTGCTCCTGCAGACCGCTACTCCTGGCAGACCACTACTCATGGCAGACCACTACTCCTGGCAGACCGCTACTCCTGGCAGACCGCTACTCCTGGCAGACCGCTACTCATGGCAGACCGCTGCTCCTGGCAGACCGCTGCTCCTGCAGACCGCTACTCCTGGCAGACCGCTGCTCCTGGCAGACCGCTGCTCCTGCAGACCGCTACTCCTGGCAGACCACTACTCATGGCAGACCGCTGCTCCTGGCAGACCGCTACTCCTGGCAGACCACTACTCATGGCAGACCGCTGCTCCTGGCAGACTGCTGCTCCTGCAGACCGCTACGCCTGGCAGACCACTACTCATGGCAGACCGATGCTCCTGGCAGACCGCTACTCCTGGCAGACCACTACTCATGGCGACCGCTGCTCCTGGCAGACCGCTGCTCCTGCAGACCGCTACTCCTGGCAGACCACTACTCATGGCAGACCACTACTCCTGGCAGACCGCTACTCCTGGCAGACCGCTACTCCTGGCAGACCGCTACTCCTGGCAGACCGCTACTCCTGGCAGACCACTACTCATGGCAGACCGCTGCTCCTGGCAGACCGCTGCTCCTGCAGACCGCTACTCATGGCAGACCGCTGCTCCTGGCAGACCGCTGCTCCTGCAGACCGCTACTCCTGGCAGACCGCTGCTCCTGGCAGACCGCTGCTCCTGCAGACCGCTACTCCTGGCAGACCACTACTCATGGCAGACCGCTACTCCTGGCAGACCACTACTCATGGCAGACCGCTGCTCCTGGCAGACCGCTGCTCCTGCAGACCGCTACTCTTGGCAGACCGCTACTCCTGGCAGACCACTACTTATGGCAGACCACTACTCATGGCAGACCGCTCCCCTCCCCCCCCCCCGCCTGCTGGCAGACCGCTACCCCTCCCCCTGGCAGAGCTGGCAGATAAACATATGCCCGACAATGGACAATTAATTTCTTCATTTACAATTAAGCATTGTTTAGTAATTCTCTTACATCTGGTCAGTAATGTTTGGACGCGAGTGCGCACGCGCGCGCGACTCATGTAATAATGTTATTGGGTTCAGGAATTTTTAGCCGCGGCTGGAAGAGGCAGTGAAATAGTTGGAAATGAATAGCACGTAGTGAAAAATATTTGGTTTTATCTGTGAGAATGAATTATGTTTATAATAATATGGCGAAATATCTATACAAGCTCCTAATGAGCCTATGTAAGCCTATCCATATTAATACTGTTTTATCTCAGTCTTTTTAATCTTTAATCACTGCTATATCTTTCAATTCGTTTAATATAATGGTAGAGAAGTCGTGTTAGGTTCCTACCTGCAGCGGCTATAGGGTGTATTCCCGGGGGTTTTTATATAATAGTAAATCACAGAGTCGGAGCACTGGTCAACACACGTCCACCCGCTAGCTCTGCGTGCAGCTGACTGAAGCCTCCGCCAGGGCGTCCTCTGTTATACTCTAACTCACGACGCCAGAGCCGAAATGGTGTTCGAATTCCGTTCCCTCATAATCCCACCATTTAAACCCGGCGTATGAACCGGTTTTTGTGGCCGAATTAGTATCCGGTAATTCAATTTGATCATTTGTTTCCCAAACGCTGAGAAATGAAACAAACGGACCGGAAATAGGGCGATATTTTAGATAGTTTTGATATTTGAAGACAGAGATTCGCAGGCGGGAGTGACGTCAACACGCACATGCGCAGGAACGTTCCTGAGGAAGAGTTCTGATAGCTTCCTTACTCACAACACAACTACGACCTGTGGCTCCTTGCCTCCCTCCTCCCCACCCTCCTAGTGCACGACTCAGAGGTGTTCCTGGCTGATGGCTGAGTGGATGAGGGCTGGCTGGTTAGGCTAACCCTTCCCATATATCCAAAATAGGATATTATGCAAATTACCAAATTGTAGAACTTAACAAACTAATCACTGAAGTCTTAAGACTGAAAATTTAACCTAAATCCAACATGCTTTATAATAGTTAAAATATACATTAAAGTTGACAAAATTGACTCTTTTTCTTTGGTGTTTTTTCTCTCCAACTTTTTTTTTCAAACGCACTGAAAATATTACATACATACATTCACACAGAAATAAAAATGAAGAATTGAAAGAAATGAATATTCCGTCTTCACTTTTGCTGGCACATCATATGCTAACCAAATTAACTTATTTACATAGTAGAGAATTTAGGCTATTTTACTGTTTATAAAGGGTTGTGGACGGGCTTTAAAAATGGACAAATTAACGTCCTTAAAAAAACAGTACTGTCCAGCTGAAGGGAAGGGAACTATCAGGGGGGAAATGCCAAGCCATTACGACTATATAGCACTGGGAAGGAATCAGGATAAGGATTTG